CCCCCCCCCCATGGTCTCCTGCTCATTTCTGGGTCTGGTCTTTCCCTCTGCCTCTCTTATTTGCTTTCTGTGCCTGGTTCTCCTTTGATTTCTGGAACTACAAAGCTGTGGAATTTACTCTCTAAATCTCTTGATCTCTCTCTGGTTTTGCTCCCCTGACCCTCCAAGTGTCTCTTTGACTCCTTCTGTCCCTCCCTCCAGCTTGGTTGTCTGTCTGCAATCTGTCTAACCTATCCTGTGTCTCCCATGGTCATCCATCTGTCTGCATGTCCTCCTGCCTCCCAGCCTCTCTGGCTGTCTCCGACCCCCTACCTTCCACGCCTGCCCTTGGAGCCAGTATCCCCCCAGCCTCCTCCAGGCAATGCCAGACCTGAACTGTTTTCAACACCCCCCCCAGGCAGCCCCCACCCCAGTAGCAGGGCCACTGTGGGCAAGAATGCCAAGCACACAGGTGTACACAGGGCAGCCTGAGTGCCAGGCCTGTGAGCACACACATATTTGCAGAAATGCACTCACATGTGCCTGCATCCCAAGTCAGCCAAGCCCAAATTTGCCTACAGTGGGAGAAGCTAAGTGTGCACCGGACTAGGGGGCACACCCCCCCCCCGTTTGTTTTGCTCCCATAAGTAGCTGTGACCTGAGACAGGCCGGGTCCTTTGTGTGACCTGGGACAGACTGTGTCCCTTGTGGTACCAGATGCCACTGGTGGGAGAGACACTAGCCACAGCCCTGAGGACCCACAAGCCAGCGTCCGGTGGCTGGGTCTCTGCATAGTGCCTTAGTCAATCTTCTTACCACCCCCTCAACCCCGTGCTGTGATCCTTCTGTCACAGATGAAGAGGCCGAGTACCAGAGAGGCTGAGTCACTGTGCCCTGTGAGCACCAAGCCCACCCTGGAGCTCCCAGCTGGTTCAAAGCATTTTCCAAACACCATTCCATTTATTCCTCCTGGGTCCCTGGGCTGGTCAGGGCTGTGGGGAGGGTCTCTCTGACAGATAAGAAACCTAGGCCCAAAGCAGAGACAGGACTTGTCTGCAGGCACAGTGGGGAATGAAACTGGGGTCTTGTCCCCACATCCCATGTTAGACCCAGCCCAACAAACCACAGGCAGCTCCAGGCTACCCTCCCTGCCTGGGCCTGGGCTGGCCACACAGCTGCCTCTGTGCCGGCCTCAGGGGCTGCCCGGCCCCACCCTGCCCCACCCTGAATGTCAGGGGCAGCTGCCTCCTGTGACAAATGTGCTCCAGCCTCAAAGCCACACTCTGTTGCTCCCAAAGTCCACTCCACATGGCTTCTCCTGCATTCTGACCAGGACCCTCCTGTGACGGTCACTACTCCTATGACGGTCACTACTTTTGTGCATGCACACCCTACAGAGTGTCGTTCTCACCCTCACTTGACAGGCCGCTTGCCTGAGCCCCCACCACAAGGACCTACTGGTCAGGCCACTCGAGAGCCCCACCAGCACCCTTACCAGGCCAGGCCTGCCCCTGCTTCCTTGTGGGTGGTGAGGGAGGCCCTCAGTCCCTTCTGGCCCCGACCCCCAGGCAAGTGGTGCTGAGCAAAGCTAAGGTCTCACCATCAGGAGGAACTAAGGGCCTGGTGAGAGAGGCCCCCCAAGGGTGAGCCAGCTGCCACCTGACCCTGCACACACACAGCAAACAGTCTACACTGGGAGCTGGCCTCACAGCTGGCAGGAGGAGAGGCCGTTCCTGCTCCTGACAGGGACAGGTCTCACAGTGAGTCAGTCTCAGTCATCCACAATAATCTATGCCACGAAGGACACACAGGGGCTGTAGGTGACAGGCTGGGGCAGGAGTGGGAGGTATAGTTCGGAAGGAGCCAGGAGACCAGGACCACATCCTGGGCCTAGACCCTTCTCCCTCCTCTCGCCACTTTAAACACCTTGATCAGGCGCTACCTCAACCTCCTCCTTCTCCAAGCTAAACAGTCACGTGGCCGCCACCTGGTTACCCTCCCCTGGCCTCTCCTTAGAAAGGGGCAGGCAGCATCTGGGAGTGCTCTAACAAGCGGGACCACCACCTCCCTTGTTTTGAACGCTGTATCTCCAGTAATGCCTCCTGGGTGCACCATGAATGTAGGCCGCGTACCACTGCACTCAGTGGGTGCTAAGTCCACCGACTTCCCGACTCACCAGATGACCCAGGCCCCATTCCCTCACCAGCGTCCCGGCCGCCTCCAGGCTCCAGACACGGGCTGCCGTCCAGCCTGCTCCCTCCTGCCGAGCTGGGCTTACCACCAGTCGGTTGTGCTGGCTCCTGAGCTTGTTTATACCAGTTGAACTTGTCAAAATAATTATGTCATGTAATTAAATATTACTTAAAATGATGAAATGTGAGTGCAAAAGGAGAAAGAGTTGTTTTCTGTAAGAAATTTGTGTACTGCTTTGAAATACTCCATGTAGGCACTTAGGTTTAAATCAGGTGCAGGGTAGAAAATGAGGGGAGGATGGGGGAGGGAGCAGGGGCAGCACCTGGGTGCTGTGCTCACACCTGCTGAGGCTCTAAGAGCTCCACGCCCTTCGGAGAAACAGAGACAGAGGCTGCAGACAGCAGTTCTCAGCCCACACCCTGGAATCTGTTAAAAACCCACCCCTTGCACCCCAACCCAGAGCTCCTAGACCAGCACCTCTAGGGGAGCTCTGCTCCCTGTGTCTTAACACCCCCAGGTATTCTGATGCCCATCCCAGCCTGAGAACACTGCTGCAGGGGAGCTCAGTCATGGGGGGAGCATTTGTGCAAGAAAAGGCCCCACAGAGCAGCTACACCCAGAAAGGAGGCTCTGGCCTCAGTGCCAAGACCACCGAGCATGTGCAGTAAACCAGCTCTACCTTTGGGGTCCCCACGGCTGCCCAGGTGTTCACTGAGACATGGCACACCACGAGACCTGGACCCCTCTGGTACAAGCTCCATTTATTCCCGTGAAGGGGGCCCTTGGCTGTGCCCCACTTTTCAGATGGGAGGCTGAGGCCCAGGGCCCCTAAGTGACTTGCCCGAGCTCTCTCAGTCAGTTGGTGGCCTGACTCTTGAGGGGTTGTGTCTCAGGGGCCAGCCCCGCCCTCCACCCATGACTGCGGCTTTTTTGGCAGCTCTACCATGCCTGCCATGGCCCTGGCCTGTCTGTGCTCTGCTTCGCTCGGCACGACATCCTGGAATACTTCAGCATCTACGGGACAGCGCTGAGCATGTGGGTGTCCCTGATGGGTGAGTGGTCACTCCAAAGCCTGGCCCTGCAGGCAAGGCCGGCTCCCCACCTCCACACCACCCCCTCCATCCCATCTCTAAGAACTTCTTCTCTTCACCGAGCTCGGTGCCTCTTCAGCTCCTACATGCCTGAGTTCCTATTTTTCAGGTCCTTTTAAAATGACTCAGGTAGTAAAAGCTTGTGATGAACTGAAGCAGCCGAGACTAATGTAGGGAGAAGTGTGGCTAGGCCCTCCCACCCTCTCCTGGGAGGGCCAAGGGCACTTTCCCGCAAGTCCCCATACAGCGTGGGGCCTCATGGAGACAGGACCTCGCCAAGCCCAGGGTCCTACAAATCTGCTTCCACTCACTGCTGTCTCCGGGCTATGTGGAGACCCAGGTCCCCATGACCTGAGGGCATCTGCTCTCTGGCCCGGGAGCTCCTTCTCTCTGCCCAGGGTCCTCATCCTGCTGGGTGGGCGTGTCCTTCTGTTGCATCCTGATCTGATGAAAGCTGGTTGCCAACACAGAGCCGCGCCCGTCTGCCCACGGAAGGCAGCAGGCTTTCCCCTAAAACTGGAGGGAATGCTAACCCCCCAAGAGCATCTGGGTCTCAGGGTCTCATTAGCCAAGGGGACCCTGCATGGGGCCACCTGAGGGACAGACCTGGGGGCAGAAGCAGCTGCTCACCTTCTGCCCTGCCCCCCTCTCCCTGCCCCTCCAGCCTTGGCTGACTTTGATGAACCCAAGAGGTCCACACTGGTGATGTTTGGTGTCCTGACGATCGCAGTGCGAATCTACCATGACCACCAGGGCTACGGGGTGTACTCAGGTCCCATCGGCACTGCTGTCCTCATCATCGCCGCAAAGTGGGTGCGTATTGGGTGCACATCAATGATGGAGACCTGAGGGGCCCAACCCGCTCCTGACTGGGGTTCCTCCTGCCTGGGTGTCCAATTTACCTCCTATCCTCATGGGCGGGCAGGCTGGACACAAAGAATCAGATGAACCACGCAGAAAACAGCCGTCGGGCGCTTCAGCCAAGCAGACAGCAGGAGCCCTGTCTATTCTCACTAGCGTTGGGCTGAGCCCAAGTCACTGACCCCTCAGCTTCCACAACCACCTCGTGAGATAGCACACCTGGTGTATTGGCAGGGAACCCAGCTTCCCATGTGTCCTGCACCACTAGCCACTCATGACTGGTAGGTCATTGTCCTTAGTGCAGGGGTGGTGCTGTAGAGAGGCAACTTCACTGAGGAAAATGGCTGGGTTAGCCTGAGAAGACTTCCTGGAGGGGGCGTGTGGAGGGGGCTCTAGCAAGGGGGGAAGGTGTGGTGTGAGGCTGAGGCCTCCACATGTGTTCCTGGGCTCCCTACACACTCTGCTGTATCCAGGCTCTCTCACTGCAGAGACCAAAACCCACTCAAACTAGCCCAAGCCAAAGAGGGACACTATGGCAGGACAGACCCAGGGATAGTGGACCCAGGGGCAGGAGGGAGCCTAAGCTTTGAGGGCCAGACACAGACCTGGGAGCTTTGGCCTAGGCTGGCTCTCCCCTGGGAAAACTCCTCTGTCCCATTTACCCCTTCAGCATACAGCCTGGGATCTTGTGGTCCCGATTCCAGAGCTACTGTGTTTCCCTGAAAATAAGACACTATCTTATATTTATTTTTTCTCAAGAAGACACACTAGGGCTTATTTCCAGGGGATGTCTTATTTTTATTAAGTATAATACAACAATCTACATTTATTCAAATACAGTTAAGTCATCTTCTTCTGGAACCTGACAGGGGGAGCCCACCTTGTTGGTGAGGCTGGCACTAGTGATGAATGAACTCCTTTCCCCTAGCCGTTCGCACGTGTGCAATAGGATGCCTGCGACCGGTTACCACACACGCACCCACGCAAGTGCGAATGACTAGGAGAAAGGAGCTGTGGCAGATAAAAGGCATTCCAGTCTTCCTTAACTCCCCACACCGAAATGCATGTTCTGTGGCAAAGCTTTCAAAGTCTGCCCTACTCTGCTGGACAGCCAAGGAGGACAGCTTGATTTTGTCATTTGAGTAACAAAGAAACTGAGGCACAGAGAGACTGGCAACTTAACAGGAAATCACAGCAGGGCAGTGGTCAGGTCAGAACTTGACTTTCCAAGCAGGTGACACAAGGGAGCCTCTTTCTCCCTGAGGCCTCCAAAGCTGCTTTGTGAGGGGATCGGATGTGCTGAGTAAGGTTCATAATGTCTGTGCTCCAGGCTCTAACACCCCCTCCATGCTGGCTCTGCCCCCAGGCTATTTCCCCCAAGTTGTAACCAGCCAGAGCAGAATTTACTGTTAGTGTCCCCACAGAGTGCCATGAGACTTCCAAGGCCCTGGGGCTGTGGGTCTGGCCACAGGGATGGGAGATGGATGGGCTGCCTGTCTCCCTGCATCTGGGCTCGAATTATGTTTTCTAGATCATTAAGTATACAGTTTATTTTGGATATTCAAGGGCAGTTGTTTCCTGGAATGAGGGTGGGCTTTACTTCTTGAGGCTTGTCTCTTCTTGGGAGGGGTTTGGGAACCACTACCACCCCCAGGGGAGAAAGGGGTAAGAGTTGGATGGAGGTGCCCTGGGGTAAGGCAACCCATGGCATGACCTGGAGGTCAGTCCCATGCGGGCTGTGGACCTGGGTCATCTGCACCCAGGGTCACACTATTGCAAGGAAAATTCCAAACCCTGAATGCCGGCATCAGTTCACAATTCATTTGCTGGCAAATCGGCCTTGGCCCAGCACGAGGCCGTGTGTGGACTCCATGTGCCCCATGCAGGGATGTGTGCAGTAGGGGGCTGCCCCACCATAGGGCTTACACCTCACACTCTGGATGTGACAGTTTCTCCTTCTGGAATGCAGATATGCTGAGCCTTGAACCGCTGCTGGCCCAGGGCCTGTGCTCACAGGGGGACCTGCCCTTATCCCCCTTTCTCTGCAGGGAACCATCTGTCTCAGGGCAGCTCCCTCCTGGGCCTTGCTCCCACCTCAGTGTCTGGGAAGTCAATATCTGAGAATTAGTTCTGCTAAGTTTGCCCAATAAATATGAAGATAGATCCTTCAGCTAGTAAAGTAAATGATGTTTGTGTGCCAAGTAAAGTTGTCCCATGGGCCACCCTGGGCTGGCAGGTGCCAAATCCAACATCGACCCCTCCCCTGTAAAAAGTCACCCTGTGCAGTCCCCCTCCAAGGGTGGCCTGGTGACATCCAAAGAGGCAGGGGGGGATGTCTTTATGGGGCACGTTGGCCCCAGAGGACCCCAGCCAGGTCACCCAGGTGAAGGGCTGGGTCTGGCAGAAGTAACCCTGTGGCCTGGTCACAGCCGGGCATGCCCCACCTGGAAATGGCCAGGGTCAGCTCTGGGGCTGGCTTGGGTGCAGTCCAGTGCCTGGCCTGAGGCCTGAGAGGCCTGCTGTTACCACCTTCCCTGCAGCTGCGGAAGATGAAGGAGAAGCATGCTCTGTACCCCGACGCCAGTGTCTACACCCAGCAGCTGGGCCCTGGCCTCTGCTTTGGTGCCCTGGCCCTCATGCTCCGCTTCTTCTTCGAGGTACCAAGCCCGATGGGGAAGTGCCCTGTCCATCCAAGCCAGCTTGGCATGGCCTTGCTCAGCTGGAGATGTTAGAGGGATCACAGCCTGTGTGGGCCGAGGGGTTAAAGAGACCAGAGCTGGCCTGTGTGGCGCTCATGACCAAGCGCCCAAGCCCAGACTGGAGGGGAGGGGAGAGGTTGGAGAGGGAGATAGTGGGGAGGAGAGGGAGGAAGGGGCTCCCAGCCTCTGGTCAGAGGCCTGAGAGCCCTGAGGAGCACACTGGCCTGGGGCTGGGTGGAGGAAAGGCCTCCATGACTGGGCCGCCGGGAGGCCATCAGGAGGGCCCGGTGCACTTGGTACACAGCAGGGACTTGGGCCCTCCAGGGGCTCAGGGGATCTTGGAGGGCTGAGGACCAGACTGACTCCCTGCCCCCACAGGACTGGGACTACACCTACGTCCACAGCTTCTACCACTGTGCCCTGGCCATGTCCTTTGTCCTGCTGCTGCCCAAGGTCAACAAGAAGGCTGGGAATGCGGGGGCCCCGGCCAGGTTGGACTGTCCCACCCTGTGCTGTGCCTGTGTCTGACCTCGCTCCCCAGCTCCTGCCCCACCCCTACCCTCACACCTAAGAGTCTCCCGCCAGGGCCCCTCCTGCCCCCACCCTGCCCCAGAGCATCCAGGAGGGACAGTATCCATGGCAGCCTGGGAGGTCCAAGGGCCGGAGCCCAGCTGCTGGGTGTAGACACTGGCGTCGGGGTACAGAGCCTGCTATGTGGTGGCTGGTGCGCCCCAAGCCCTGGACTGGGTTTCACTGGTGCTCAGCAGGAAGGAAAGCACTTGTTTCCCCAGACTCGTCCTGACGGACAGGTGTGTCTAAAGCCCTCAGCCTGGTGTCTGACCACCCCACAGCCAGCTATACAGCCAGTGCCAGCCACCAAGTAGGGGCACCCAGCCACCCTGTGTCATCTGCTTTCCCCTGGAAGCTGACATCACCCCTCTGTCCTATGGCCTTCGGCTCTGGGTGCACCCATTAGGGGAGCCATGGCCAGTGTGGCCAGCTCAGTCCCTGGCCCAGGCCTTCCCCTTACCCAGCCTTCCAGCCAGTTCCTGAATCAAGCTGTTTCCATAATAATCACCAATAAGACTCCTTGATTTACTGATCTTACTGCATGCTAGGCAATTTATTTATGTCCAGTTCTTAAAACAAGACTTCGAGTCAAGCCGTGTGACTCCCATCCTATGGACAAATACCCAAGATTTTGAGCTGAACCCACACCACTGGAGCACCTGTCCTTGTCCTCAGTCCCACACACGGCCCTCAACCCTGCCTGCTGTCTCTCAGCCCTGCCTGCTGTGCCCTCTGCGAGGAGAGGGGTGTTCGAGCACTGTGACCTTGAGCAGAACCCTAGGGCCCACACTATGAGCTCCTGCCTACAACAGTCCGAGAGTGGTGGGTGGGGTGGCCAGACATCACCTCACAGCCTGCATCTCCTCAGAACCCAGCCCACCCTCTCCCCTGGCAGTTCCAGGCCCATCGGTCGGGCAGGAAGTTGCTGACACCTATCTGGGGCCTGTTTCTGTTTCCAGACGGTGGCAGCCAGGTCCAATCCCTGAAGTCACCTTCCACATCCTCAGGGGCTAGCTCCACACCTGGGTGGGGACGCTGTTCACTCCAGCTCCTTGGCCTGGCCCCATCCCAGAGGGCCGTGGGCTGGCATCTCCTCAACCCTGCTCCCCCGGCAGCAGAGGGCAGGCGCAGGAGACAGAGCCTGCTGTGTCCTGTGTTTCTCTCCTGGCTCTCGGGGTCCTCATGAGCTCGGGGGCCAGGACAGGATGCCATGCCTGTTTTCCAGATGAGGAAGCTGAGGCTCCACAGTCAGAGCTCTGAGGGCAACCACCCAGCAGGGGATCAGGGACCTTTGTCCCCTGTGCCTCATCACAGGCCAAGGACACCGACCCCCACCCAAGTGCTGTGCCCTGACATAGAGAGCATCCTGGCACTGCCTCTGTCTGCTTTCAGTCTACGGGAGGGGGTGCACACACATGCACACATGTGGACACACGTCACACAGACATGTGTGCACCATGCACATACACTCATACTCCACAGCACCAGGAAGGGACAGGCTGGCCCGGGACCATGTACACTCTGTAGGTCTCCACACCAGGTGACAGGGAAGGTGCAAACTTGGGCCTCGGGGGCACCCTTGCAGGAGCAGGTTTATGCAAGGTGGCCGGCCTCGGGTCACCTTGCTGCCAGCGCCTCTCAGCTCTGTGGCAACACATGGAAACTCGGAAGTGGCAGGATGCTCCCGGCAGGGAGGACAGGCCCCCCAGCGCATGGGGGCCACACTAGCAGGCTCTTCATTGTGGCAGTGCTGATGTATGAAGGCCGTCTGGGAGCCCGGCCAAGTCTATAAGTCACGGACAATTAAGACGCGCGCTGCAGCCCATAGCCCTGCCGGCCTGGCCTCTCGGCTCTAAGCCCAGCCTCTCCCTCCCAAGGAGAGCCAGCTCCCACAGAGATCCCTGGGGCCCTACTTTGCAGATGAGGGCACTGAGGTCCAAGGACACCAGGCAGCTTTGACAGTGGCTGCTGAGTTGGTGAAGGGACCAGAGTCTTGCCGGGTGGTGCCCTCCTCCAGTGGCCTCAGGCATCAAAGCCCACTTTGACATGTTGGAGGCTCTGACCAGGGGCCAGGAGGTGAAGGCTGGGGAGGGGGACCACCGTGCTCCCTCGACACACAGAGCGGCCACCAGGATACCTCAAAACTACTGAGGAGAATCATCACGGCCTGCAGACACTAACACATTGGGTGCCAGTGTTGTCAAGCCACAGGTTGTCATGTCCCTGCAATCTGAGGACTGTGGCACCTGAAGCCACAAGAGGCCTCCACTCTCACCCCAGCCCACCTGGAGCTCTATATAGAGCCTCCACAACCAGCCCTGATTGTGGGTGGGAAGCAGGAGGCCTGAGGTTTCCTACAGTGAGTGCTGGGAGAAGAGGCTGCAGAGACCACAGAGGCCGACAGGCAGTGCTGTCCAAACAACATGCTTTAATGGTGAGGTGCGCCGGGCGGCCAACACCACACCTCCCACCCCTGCCTGGAGACCAGCTATCCAAAATGCTGCCTGTACAACTAAGAAAATGAATCTGTAAATGTTAATTTTAATTAATGCAAATTTAAATAGCCACATGGGAAGCACTGCAGACGCAATACAGGATTTGCATCTGAATCTCAGATGCACAGCAGATAACCGTACCACACAGGCATGGCCTCTGAAATCGGGGACGCACTCACAGGAGACACCCTTTACTAACAAACGATTCGTTGTCTGAAACACCGATTTAACCTGGCACCTGGACTTTATTAGGCAACGCTGCCTTGTGGCCAGTAGCTACTACAGAGCCACGAGTCCACTGGAGACGGACAGGCAGTTCTGCGGACATGTGGGTTTAGAAAGCCATGGGTTAAACTGCAAGCAGAGGGCTTCAGGGCCTGGTTCTGGACATGGCCTCACTCCAGGACATGGGAGCCAGATGGTGCTGTCCTTCACAGCTGGGTCATTTCAAACTCAGGAGGAAAGGTGGGCACAGACCCAGCAAGAGCCCCCAAGCCTAGGTTTGGCTTCCAAGGAGTAGTGACAGCCCATGTACCCCCACCCCATTGCCCAAAGTCAGCCCCTGCCCAGCCACGTGTGTGCACAGCCAGGCACACGCTATCCCCCACCGCCCAGCATACACAGCAAGAGCCCGGCTCAGGGGGAGTGTGGCCACCTTGGGCAGTACCAACGTGGACAAGTATTATAAACATTTACAACAACGTAGACAAAACAGTCTATTGTAGAAGCCCCCCCTCCACTGGTGTGAGGCTGGCACGGCTGCGGGGCCAGGACGTCCTCTGTTTGCACAGCGAGGTGTTTTCGTCTGAGGGCAGTCTGCGTGCTGTGGCCTTTGTCGTGTCTGCTACTGAAATTTCCTGTCTCTGTTATTCTCTTCTCTAGTAAGATGATCTGAAACCCAAAACTTTTATTGCCCCTTTTAAAGAGGCTTTACAGCCCCCCCGTCTGCTTCTGAGCTGTCCGGCTGGGATTGCAGTTAGGGAGCTGCCGGGAGTGGGGCCTGGCTGGGGAGGACCTGGAGGAAGTGGGGGGTTTGCAGAGCCAGCACGCTGCCTCGGAAGCGTCAGTCTCTCCTTGCTTGTTAGCTGGTTAACTAAGCTAGCTGCATATGTGGTTAAAGAGGGCCAGTCACCTTGGGCCCTGGCAGTCCTCCTGGCCGCCCCTAATGGCCGAGTGACCCTGGCCTGATTCATCCCATCTCTGCACATTTGTTCTCACTTTTGGGTGGGAACAAAAGCCCCACCTGGCTGCCACTCGGGCCCCTTCAGGTGAGTTAGGTCAGAAGCTGGCTGATCCAGAAGGCACTAGGGCAGAGGAGGTGGGAGGCAGGCTGGACGGGTGCAGGCTAGCAAACAGGCCGCGGCCAGGTGGGCCTGTGCTCTGCTCTCCCTCCACGGCCCTAGGCGAGCTGCCTGTGCTCTCTCAGCCCCCAGTTCCCCATTTGAAATAGTGCCCACCTCACACAGGTGTTGTTGAGATTAAATGAGACAATTTAATACAAAGTTCCCAGCACAGTTATTATTATTATTTTTAATTAAAGACAGAGTCTCACTTTATCATCCTGAGTGCCATGGCATCACACAGCTCACAGCAACCTCCAACTCCTGGGCTTAAGTGATTCTCTTGCCTCAGCCTCCCAAGTAGCTGGGATTACAACACCCTGCT